GTACGCCATTGATGTCAAGGTCTGTCTACAGTAGATGGTAATGCTCTCAAGGGTCCTTTTGATTTTTGCAGTATGTTGACATCGCTGTAACAGAAGGCTTCTTCATCAGGGTCAAGCATGCGTCGCCAAATTCGCGTTAGTTGGAGAGGTTGCTATGTGGTCAATTTTGGGCTGGGTGTAGTTGGACCTGGGGGGGGAGGAGGGGAAGGAGGTCTGGGTTGTTCTAGAGGCATTAGTGGGATTTGTCTGTTGCTAATTCTTTGGGAAATCAGAATTTGAGAAAGCGGTTAAAGGTTTGTCTCGCCCTAATCCCCCAAAAATAAACCCGGGCGCTCGTGTCCTTAGGGGAACATTCAGACAGAGATGTTCAAAAACCGCTGGTAGGTGACACTAGGACTAAGCCCAGGACTGGGAATAAATACAAGAGAGAACAATGGTTGCTCACAAAACCTTCCCCTCCCTAAAGCTTAGTCCCGAGTTCTATCAGTGGCCCACTCACTTCAATGTCCCCAAGGACATGAGCGCCTAAACCCAGGTGGACTTGTCAATGGAAGATGTTGAAAAGGCTCCCTTTGTGGTTTCCGAGCTTGACCCTATTTCTCGGTCACTACAGTTGTTGTCCCAGAACCCTGAGCCCGGCCAGAATGGCCATTTATGAGATATGCGGGCATTGTTGAATTCTCGACGCCTCATTAAGGGGGGCATAGAATATGACCTTTTTGTTCATGCACATTACCTGTTGTGAACACTTCCACGGATAATTATAGGTAGTTACGGGCAGCACACTCATTATTGAACGCCCTTTTCATTGCCAAACTGTGCATAAACGTAGATATTTCTAGGGTTCATTTTGCAGGATACGTACTGAACTCGCCTCAGGTGCATGGTGTCCGAAACCGCAAATACACAGTAGCAGTTACGAATTTCTACAGGTAATTCTCTAGCTCCTACAGTAATTCGTTCCAGTACAGCCATTGTATCAGCTCACTTTTAATATGCCATATCTACGACATCTTTAATTGTCGGCACAGGTTCTTCTGGAGTAATAACCCTTGCGTTAGTGCTTGCACACTCGACGCGTCATACAATGGCGATAACTCTTTTACGAGGTTTCGTCACAACCGTTACACCTGCGCTAACAGCATGAGGGCGCTTGACGACCTCTATAAGGGCAAGAGAGTTAACACGATTAATGACGCGTGCGAGAGGGAGTGATTTGGAAGCATTGGAGAGTTGCGGAAATGCCTGATCGCACGCCTACGAACATTCGCACATTACGAACACTCAGCGGGAAGTAAAGGCTAGGGCGAACACGGTCAAGGTTTCCTTCAAAGGGGCCGCATTTGAGATTTTTTTTTCGAAATCGCAGATGAGGAGAGTGAAGAATATGTCGAAAATGGAATAGAAAGACGTAAAATATGCTGTTTTAGTGCAGTCACGTATACCTTCCCAGTCTCGACGCCAATTTCACAGAAATTTTGGAAGCGGTCTTAGAGGGGTTAGGGACTAGGCTTTAGGATCATGACCAAAGGGGATCTATGGATCATGAGGAAGTGGCAGATGTCATACGACGATCTTCGTTAGGCCGATGTCAGACTTTGCGAATCGCTAGCGAATCGAGCCGTGTACCAGCGGATCGAACTATGTGCCAGCGGATCGAACGATGTACCAGCGACTCGACACTGTTTGAAAGTGGGAGTACTTCCTTTGAACATTGGGTCCCGCCACTGTTGGGTAGCTTCTGGTAGATTCGCGAACTCTGACATCGGCTTAAGAGATAAGTCAGACTGCCGCGGGCATTTCCTCGACGCAATTTTTGGCCTAACAGAAAATCTAAGCTAACATCGCACATCGTAATGCCTTTGCTATAATGTGTGTGAATTTATTTATTTATATATTTATTTATTCATTTACTTGTCCATCTATATTTGTTTATTCGTCTATTTATCAGGCCAACTGATTCGAACAGTTTTCACTTTGAAATAAATTCCGAAAGAAAAAAAAGAAATAAACAACAAGAAGAGAAACGCAAGAACAGCCATGAAACTTTCATGCCTAAAAAGAATCTTTTTATTGCCAAGATGACTAAGTTGGAGAAAAAAGAGCTCTCTCATTTTACGGTATTCTTTAAAATTGCTTGGCGCTAGTAACTACTAACTAACAACCGCTTTACATAGTTGAATACATACACATACATAAATAATACAACAAATAAATAAATAA